GCTCCTCATTTGAAATGTTTTTGATGTCTTTTGTTAAAAATATCTTTTTTTAAGTTTTGTCATAAATATATAATTAATATTATGTTTCTCTTTGCGTTATCATGGAAGGGTTCAACATGTAGTTAACAGGGAGATCTTTCTGTATCACATCTTTTTGTATCACATGCATAACCAGCTATGCAGATTTTTCACCCAATTTGGAGGGGATGTTTGGAATGGTCTGCTTTAACATATAGGCTATGTGCCATGTGTGGAGTTCACTTCTGAGAAAGTGGGAACACTCCAATTATGTTTTCATTCAAACAGAATAATGTGTTGATGGCTTATGGGAAGAAGCATGCTCTCATATGGGAAACTGTGCAACTTGAGGAACACTTCAGGACACAAAGTGGTATGCAACATGCTCTTAACAGCCAGTGAACTGAAACTGGGCAATCATTAATGATGGTTATTGATTCTCCTGAACAACAATACATACTACAATTAATCTGTTTATATACCTGTTTCTAATGATAGAAATCGCAACAAAACAAGCAACTGAGTTGCATTCACATTGGTGGTAATTTTTCTGTTTAACTTTGAAGATTATCACAGGGGAAAATTGGGGTAGAAAAAGGCTCCCAGGACAATCGTGCTAACATATGGAAGATTTTCAGATGACATTGCACTCAATCAGGCATTATCCCAGGAAGAGCAAGGAATCAAAAGGGAACAAACCAACTTACAATTGCACAGTTTAGAATGTCCAGAATAGCATAGCAATCATATTCCCAGGAACAGAACCTTGTAGTAGTAGTTGTGCCACTGGGACCATGGCACAAGGAAAGTCAGCAGTATGGCCATTGTACAACAATAGCAATTCACAAGGCACTTTGTGGGATAGGCTGTCCCTGTACAGTCATGGTGCAAGGAGGAGCCAGTGGCCGGCACACTGGTAATCCAAAACAGAGAGCAATGAAAGGTCATGGGTGCCCTATGTCCAGATGGGAAAATGGTTCCCCATTGTGTCAAGGGAACCCACTTTTCAGAAGAAGGCATCCTTCACAGTGCCCCATTGTGAAGTGGAAGTCCCCATTGTGCAATAGTACAATCACAGCCAATGATCATCCTATATATTCACTTGGCTTTTAGTCTCCATTGGACTCAGGGCCAATCGCCATGAGGAAAACTTACTATGCTGGAATTGGAAACCCAAGCTGAGAAGATGGCTGCATACTGACACAGTCAGGTGACTTCTTCAGCCTATGCCTAGTTTACATGGCAACCTCACTTAATGCAGCCACATCAGCACTGTCAAAAGCATCTAAACAATAATTATGATGAGACCCTCAATTGACCAAACCATCACAAGATCATTTCAAAGGTATGCCAAGTTCTGCATGGAATTGTGATTGTGCCTTACTCCTGAGAAAGCATAAAGATGGATGATTTCATCCTCAGTGCTTAAGTGTCAATCTTCATTTTCTTACTTTATTACATTTATATCTCACCTTTCCTCCAAGGGGCTTAAAAGTGGCATGCATGGTGCTTCTCCCCTTTTCTGTGTTCATGACAACCCTGTGAAGTAGATCAAGCTTAGAGAAAGTGGCAGGCCCATGGTTATTTGGTGATCAAGTACAGGAGCTGGTGATGACTTCCATGTCAGTGGGGTAGACTTCAGGCTGAACTTTAAAACCTCTGTCTTAAGGTGCTGAACTCTATCCCCCAAATAGGTTCTGTACCTTGGATCATTCATTTAAAGTTCAGAGGAGACCTCAAAATGGATTCACCACTCCACTTACATAGATGCCACCACACACCACTGATAAAAATCTCCCCTGCCATAGTTCAACATCTGAGCTTAGAAATGTTTCATCTAAGTGTAACCGTTAAACAAAAGTACCATATTGGCTCCTGCATTGTCAACAGGGTAGTGTTGTTGAATTTGTAACTTCTTGAAAGCAGGAAGAAAGAAAAAGAAATGTGACACAGAGACAGTTAGAAAGAGAGAAAGAGAGAGAGAGAGAGAGAGAAAGAAAGAGAGAGAGAGGAGAGAGATCTTGTCCCACTTCCTCCAATTTTTAACAGTCTGGCTTTTCATGCATTCAGGCCACATAGAGATGCCTGTAGCCATTAAACGGAGTCTGCCAAATCTAGGTGTTACAACCAGGCCTCAAGGGATCACAGCCAGATGGTATTTGGGGTGGTGGTGGGGAAGAGGACACAGTTCATTTCAGAGCAACTGGAACAAGAGGATTTCTTTTTCTTTTATTACACCGCTGCATTTGGCAGCAGTCCACAAGAAGCAGATTCTCCATTCTCCAAGGAATGATCGGCCCACTCTGTCCATTTAGCAGGACATTCAGCCTGAAAAGTCAGTCACAAACCAAACATGTTGAGCAGATGTGTGAACATGTGGAACAAAATAATAATAATAATGATAATAATAATAATAAATGCAGACATCTGTGGGTGAAAATGTAGCATGAATGCTGAGAAACACTGACATAACCCCCATTGTTGTTGTTGTTATTTATTATTATTATTATTATTATTATTATTATTATTATTATTATTTAAAAATCTTAGTGATTTGTTTTTAGAAGGGAAAAAAAGGAGAGAGCAATACATGATTCTTGTGCATAGAGAAATTAAGTCTTTTAGAATTAGTTGTCTTCTCTTGTTTGGTTTTTTTTAAAAAAAATCTTGAGGGGTTTGCCAAATAGAAAAACAATTACGTAAAGTAAAGATGTTGTCTAAGTTAGAGTGTCTTTGGGCCAGGCTTTTCCAGAAATCAGTGCTGGCAAACTGCCACTGGAAAAAACACATACACACACCCATTTTTAAGAGAGGGTATCAGACATATACATCCTTTTATCCTTGCCCCACAAAATTGCACGTTAAGGGAGCGACCCAGCTGTTTTTCTCATGGTGAATCAGAGTTACTTGGGGGAAATCTGGTTTCCTGTTTTTACACAGACAGCTATACTGTTGCAAAGCCAGTTAATTTTGGTGAGGTCAATAGAGCAAATTTAATTATTGGAACTTTCCTTTCCATACTGGCTGTGTGCTGTAAGAAAATGCTATTAAGGAATCTGAGAAGGGTTTGCTAGCTGCATTTAAAGTATCCATTTATCACTAATAGATGCCATTTACATTATACCAGGTTTGATCAATTCCTGGCTGCTACAAGACTTCATCCAATCTAGGGTTGTGGCTCCATGGTACTACACAAATTTAGCACTTTGATACCACTTTAACTGCCATGATTGCATCCTACAAAATCTTGGGATTTGTAGTTTGCTGAGACACTAAAGTTCTCTGGCAGAGAATCCTAATTATCCTTCCCTGAACTGCAGATACCAACATTTTATGGTGTGGAATCATTACAGTTAAGGTGACATCAAAGTACTACAATTGTGTTATGTGAAAGGACCGTGTGTGTGAAAGGGAATACCCTTTTATTGTCACATCCATAGCTTCTTCCAAGCATTCACATGTTCCTGGATATTCATGCAGATTTCCTCCACCCCTCTAAGCCAAGGCATGTTTAAGCACATGAAGGAGAATGGATATCCAGACACCTGCACTGAATGTGTGTTTTATTATTTCCATTCCTACCTTACCTTGCCAAGGAGACAAGGATAGTTCTCCTCATTGAATTTCATGGCTCTGACAAGACTGGAACCTGGATCTCCCATGTTCCCAATCCCACATTCCTAACAATAACACTGTTTCTTTTTGTGATCCATCAGAGCATGAAAAAAAAAAATTAGCATTTTTCACTACCATGTCCATAATTCTGCCACCTACATGGCTGGAACCTTGACAATGAATCAAGAATCCTGCTGTGAAGTATTTCTGGTTCTAGTCTCATCATTGTATTTGGAGAGCAGATTCCTACTAATCTATGTACATAAACATTTCAAAGTTCTGTTTAGTATGAAGTTATCATATCTGTTTATCGCGGTTCATGAGAGAAAGTAACTGTGTATACTTGCTCATTTTCTCTCACTGATATATTTATCAATATAAATTTGGAGACAATTTGGCATGTGTAAATGATTACAGCAGAACATACAGGAATAATGGATGGCAATAAAAGGTAATGGGCCAAAATCCAGTTGGGGAATTATGTATGCATAAACTAGAGTTATGCATTAAAAACTGTTCGGTATTCATGATCCTTACATATTCCCTAGTTTAGAAGAGATGTAGGGACTGTGAAAGTTCCCCATTCCCCACATACTGGGAAGCAGTTGCTGCACTCAATGGGGATCCATTTCCCTGTCACTCGGGAAGTAACTGACTGACGTTTCCAACACTCTTGCACAAGCAATCTTAAGTGTGAGGAGGAACTGTTACAGAAATCCCACTTTTTCCTGTCACAACCAAGATCTTTCATAGGAGAAAATGAGAACATCAGTGATGGGGAAAGGTCTCCATTGATGGTAGTGGCTGCTTAGTGGTAATTGGGGAACTGAATGGGACAGGCCAGAAGATACTGCATAGCCATATAACTATAGAGGCTATTCTGTCTATCATCTATCTATCTAT